GGGAATCTCACTGAAGAATCAGAAAAAAATAAAGAAAAAGTCAAGAACTAAGGGGAAATCTTCCTTCACAAGTATCCTTACTTGTCATCAAAGACGAACTCAGAGAAAAGAGACTGTGGCGTGATCCAATGAAACACCTGTAGGAAGAAAAAGGAAACACTCCCTACAGATTTTTGGAGAAAGGATTGCTGAGTGTGTGATGTGTTTCCATATATCTATATCCATAACTCTGATTATGTATACAGATATAAGAAATACAAAAGTTTAAAAAGCTCACATAGATATGACTTGCGAAGTGACACCAGTTCTTTTAAAACGAATGTGTGTGCTCACTTATTTTGCATTTTTTTCTTTTGCCCCAAAAAATCACTGCGTGTGCTTTCTAAACAATAATAAAACAACAGGGTTTTTTTCCAAAACAAGTTGAGCTTGGTTTGTTCCCCATTACTTGCTCCCATTGGCAAATGTGTGTTTGCTGTATGTCGGCAGTTTTGCAGTTTGTACTTTGAAGACTCTTCTTGCCAGTTTAGATAGACATAGTCATTTTGAGTTGAGTTTTAAAAAATACTTTTAGTTTATACCAAGTTACCTAGTTACTATGGTAAAGTGAACCCATTTATCTTTGTGTTCTAAAGTCTAATTTTATAAATAGCTTAAATGATACTCAGAACATTAGTGAGGTGTGCCAGAAAAGGATACCAAAAAGCAAAAATACATTCAAAAAGTAAAAGTGTTCACCACATTATGGGGACCATTCTAGGTTCTGGGGATTCCATGGTGAAGAAAACAGGTATAGTCCCTGTATGTATACATACCTGAAACTGGGTAATCTATAAAGAAAAAGAGGTTTAATGGACTCACTGTTCCACATGGCTGGGAATGCCTCACAATCGTGACAGAAGGCAAAAGGCACATCTTACATGGTGGCAGGCAAGAGAGAATAAGAGCCAAGAAAAAGGGGAAACCCCTTATAAAACCATTAGATCTCATGATAATTATTCACTATCACAAGAATAGTATGGGGGAAACCACCCCTGTGATTCACTTATCTCCCACCAGTCCCTCCCACAACACATGGGAATTATGGGAGCAAAAATTAAAGATGAGATTTAGGTGGGGACACAGCCAGACCATATCAGTCCCTGTTCTCACATGATTAATTAAAAAATGAAGGTGAAAAAAACAGTATATTACTCAAAGAAGAATTAGAATTCCCTCAGAGAAGTCCAAAGCTGAAGAAGCCCTCAGAAGTATTTAACTGGGGCTGGGTCAAGAAGGGCTTCCTAGAGAAGAGAATAGCTAAATTCAGATTTGAGGGATGACTCAGACATTATCAGGTAAAGGGAGCCAGGCTGAAGAGGCAGCATATTAGAAGGCATGGAAATAAGAAAGAATAGGGCTATAATGGTAGAGGAAAAATGAGTTTGGTGTTGCTAAAATATAAGATGCAAAGAGGTGCAATAGGCCTGATAGGTATCAGTCACTCTGGCAGAGAGTAGAGAAAGAATTGAAGAAAAGAAGATCAGAAGGGAGAAGAGAGGGAAGTCACCCAAAAGATTCTTTCCGTAACTGCACCAGAGCAGAAGAAGGGAGACCAGATGAAGGAGGTAATTTTAAAACACAATTCAAACAGCCAGGGATTCAGAAAGTGGTCTCAAAAAAGAGCAGGGTCAAGGAAAACTCCAGGATTCAGGGAGGTGGGAGGAGGGCTTAACTGGAAAATTGAGGTGGCATTCATTGTGTTGGGAAATAATAGAAAGAACTAGGTATTAGTCAATATTTCATATAACTGGTTGGTTTCTTCAGGATTATTCTATAACTCCAGAAAACTTTTAATCTAGTCCTTCAAAGTACAAAAATACTTTGAGGCATCCAAGGGAAAAAGAATAACCTTTAAAATGGCAATAACAATAACAGATATTGGACAAATGTTTTGCTTGATTGTAATCAATGTTCAGATTTCAGATAAGTCAGAATTGAAATTGACAACAAATAGAAGAAAATGGTTCATAAAAATGCATTCGGAGGCTTAAATTAAACATTTACAAACTGGATCATAATGACTTTGATCAGCTAAAGATGATTTAGAATGATAACACATTAGAAGGAGGAAATACAAAGTTTATTCATTTCACTAAAAATTACACCTGAGGCATTCTGTTTTACATTTTCTAATATTTTTCCCATTTTTACATTTTTCTCTTAACTTTAGAAAATATTACTGTATCTTTTCACATACTATTATAGAAATTTGTGATAAAAGAAGTATATCAACCTCTAATGCCTAAAATATATGGTGTATCAATCTGGTTTTTGGATATTTTAAGATTCATCAGCCTCTTTCTTCTTCACTTATATATAACTAAATTTTCATTCAATACATATAATACCTATATAAACAACTCTGTTAAAAATTATATTGAACAACTGTAGAACAGGATTTTTTATGGTCACTATTAAATGCAGTACATAATCACCTTCCTTTTTCTCTGATATTTTCATTCTGAAAGTACATTTGGCACATATAAATGTGCCCACATTTCTGTGTGCATTTTTGTGTTTTAGGGTGAAGAATAGAGTAAGCTAATGGTTCAGAGGAGTGAAGAAAGTGTAGAGTATCTGGAACCTGGTCCAGAAAAATTCCTGGTAACAACCATTAATCTTGGAGATTTTCATCCCATTCACTAAAGAACAGTGACTCATGCAGAGTTATGTAGAAATCAATGGCGAAGTTAATTAAAAACTAGATCTAACATTTCTTCCTTCAGCAATTTCTTGGTGCTAAAAGAAAAAGATTGCCCAGGTGAGATATTCAGGGAAACAAATGGAGGTCAGTGTTTTGAAAGATTATGTTCACAGTTAAGATATAGTTTCCTTTCAGATTTCAAATTTGGGCTTCATCTTTATTGCAGGAGAAAAGGGAAGACCCCACAGAGTTGGAGATCTATTGTGGGGCTCAAAGTTTTTTATTCTCAGCCTAAAAGAAGCTGAAAGAAGACAGATATAAGGAGAAAGCAGCTTAAAGAAAACTAGATGAGATAAAATAGAACTGACTAGCTTTTCTTTCCCCCTTCTATCTCGGCAGCTATGGCTTTACTTTAACCCTTTGCTTTAAACAAAAGGACTACATGGGTTCTTAGTCAAGAATCTCCAAAAATTGTTGTTTCATAGAAGGAATAACGTAAAAGGTAACAGTGACGGCTCAGGGAAACATATCTCTAGGAGCTGTCCTTGTAGCATGATTTTTAAAGAAACATAAAATCTACCTTTTCTAAAATGCATGGCCCACCAGATGCCCTCCAACATCAGAGAGGTCACGGTTGCATAAAAACTGGAGCACTGGCTGAAGGAAGTCCAAGTCACAATTGACTTAGTTGATGCCTTCAGCTTAGAAGAATGAGAAGAAGACAAACATTAACTGGTCAGGCATGTCCAAAGGAAAAAGAAACAAATGTATGCAGGGCTAGAGCAAGCAAAGCAATGGAATGTCCACCGAAAGGACATATGGGCGTGGGGAAGAGGCAATGAAAGGAGAGGCTGGGACCTCAAAGGTACACTAAGTTCTCAGTTTTATTCAGGTCTAGTTCTGTATAGGAAGGGAAAGTTTTTCTGGTTAGACTGTATTTTTTCAAATAATAGCAATGTGGAAGAAAGAAACAGGAGGAAATAGGAACAGTAAATCCACCAGAGTGGAGACAGACCTCCTATGTTTACAGGTAATAACTCATAAGCCTTGGGAGTAAAATGACCAGCATTAAACCATCCTGACATGTGAACATCTAGAAATCCAGAAACAAGCAGGCTAGCTTTTTTGGTGAATACACTCCTAGTTATCACAGTTACACTGGAGAGACTCGTGTTTAAGCTTCACCCACAAAGTATCCAATTAGAAAAGCTTCTTCCAGTTTAGACAGACTGCTTGGTGAATGGAGACTTTAAAAAAGGATTTGTGAGCAGGTGTTGTCTGTTTGTTAGTTTGTTTACATTTAGATCCTCTTCCTTCCTTTCCCTAACCATTTACCATTTTTTTTTTCTTTATTGGGAGAGTGACCAGACAGTCTAGTTTGCCCTAAACAGCTCTGCATTAAGCCTAAAATCAAGAAGTTCTATAGGTTAAACACTACTGTCTCTCACAAAAGTGTCCCGATTTGGACAATAAATCATAAGACATTTTATTCATTGGCCCTCTAGCTTTCTCTTCCTGGCAGCCACAGAGTCCTACTAATAAAGTTGAAACCTTCACTGATGAAAAAATAGGGGTCCCATCCAGAGGAGCCAACAGAAAACAAGGATACCCACGCTGCATCGCAGTAATCCAGGATGACCCTGAGGAGTCAGACTGACCTTGACATTTTATCTAGACTTTATGAGAAATATATACATATATAAAAATGCATATATATCTCCTATATATAAAAAAAGAAAATACATTGTCTTAGTCTCATTTGGCATACGCTCTCAACAGATTATCAAGGTCACATCATCAGGTAATACTAAGAACTGTAATTTCAGCTATCATTTAACAAAGATGTACTAAATCCAAGTGCTTTGCATGTCCTTCACATTTGCTCATGTAATGCTCATAGAAACCCTAAGGTAAATATTATATTTTTTAAAACTGAGGTTCCAAGAGGTTAGACAGCTTGCCCAAGATCACTTTACTATAAAGTGGCAAATGGTACAACACTACCCTCCACCCCACCACAGCATCAAAACCAGAGCCCACTCCCTACTAACCCTTAGAGACCAAGTACCATTGACCAAACCTACGTAGACCCTAGTCATACATGATCTCAAGTGTTCTCTCAGCCTCAATTTATGAGGCTGGCACTCTGCATCATCATTTGCACTACACAAAAATAAACTGCAAGAAAAGACATTAGTAGCTGACCCAAGGATAGGCTGCCTGTTGGTTAAAGAGCCAAGATTCTGACTTCAATCTGTCAGAGTCCAGAGCATGAGCTCTTAACCAAGCATGTTACAATATTATTATTTTTGTTTTAACGTAAATTTTGACTCAATTTTAAAAGAACTATCCATGGGGTAATTAGTTGCCTACCACCGTCACTTAATAAAATAAATGGAGAGATAGCTATCAGTGTTTCCTGGATATGCTCCTCACACGTCCTCTTGGCAATGTCCTCGTTGATAATCTCAAGCAGTTCAGGAGGTGGGGCGTTATCAGAAAACAAATCAAGGGCCCGGGACACTATGTAGGATCTTGTCCGCCCACCATCATAATTCACAGGGGACTCGCCTTTCTGAAATATCTTGATTGTAGGAAATCCTCTAATCCCATACCGGGAGGCTAGAACCTGATTGTAGCATCCACAGCTGCCAGTTTCACTTTTCCTTTTGTTTGCTCTTTTACTTCTGAAGCTGCAGCAGCCCACTCTGGCTCTAGGCTTTTGCAGTGTCCACACCAAGGAGCATAGAACTCAACCATCCAAACATCTTCGCTGTCAAGAACGTTCTGATCAAAGCTGTCGTTGGTCAGCTCAATCACATCCTTCTTACTTGAACTATCACCTCTGCCTTGTTTTCCAGAACTGTATCCTCCGCTCCGTCCCCCAAGGCAATCCTTCACGAGCTGGCGCAGAGTGCTGAGCGCAGCATCTACGATGGCTCCGCCAGTTCTGCTACCTTGGTAACCTTCTGGTCTGTTTTTGTTGGATCCAAAAATCTTAATTGTAGGAAATCCCTGAACACCATACTGACCACCTAGGGACTGATGTTTATCTGCATCAACTGCACCAACTTTCACAACATCTTTTTAATGCAGTAGCTGCTTTCTTCCATTCTGGTGTTAATCTTTGACGGTGACCACACCATCGAGCATGGAATTCTACAAGCCACAAACTATCACTCTGAATAACTTCTCAGTTGAAATTTGATGGAGTAAATTCGATCACATCACCACTAGAGGAATACAGACCATTCACTGCCAGAAAGAAGGCACAGCTCCCCAGACCCAGCCCAAGGAGAGTCGTGCCGACCGCCCGGTTACGCGCAGTCCCACCGCCGCTGCCGCAGCTTCAGCCTTGTCGCGTGCGGCACGCC